CAAGTGGGATGTTTTTGCTGAGCTGCTTCCACACCAGGCGGCCAAGATGGACGAGGTCCCAGAATGGCTCAAACTTCGGCTGTGTGAGGATGTCAAGCGCAAGGGCCCTAGGAAAGATACGTTTCCAGCAGAGCTGCTTCAGATTGCTGATGGTGTGCTGATGGATGAAGCTAGCCGCGGTCTAGAGATGGACACCAAGTCAGTGAACACCCTTCTGACCAGCCTGGTTGAGATCTACAATGAGGAGGCTGAGGAGTACAACAAGGCTGCTGAGCAGAAGCATCTGCAGCACGTGTCTGATCTACAAGCAAGTGGCTCTCTTTCAGAAGAGGAACTGGAGCAACTTTGCAAGGAGACACCTCCACAGATCTCCTTGATTGCACAGAACATGACAGAAAAGAAGATGGAGCACATAGTCAGCCGATTCTGTAGAACGTGGGGGTTCAGCAGCTACCGGCAGGACCGGCCAAGTAAGCATCTCAGCAGAGCCCATCCAAGTATGAAGGCTGTCTCCGACTACATCAAGTCCCTCAAAGACGAGAAGAAAATCAACCCTCGCTTGATGTTCAACTGGGACCAAGTTTGGACATGCATCTTGGCATTTACCCTGCAGATACAGAAGATAGAAAAGTCTCTTTTTTGGGCTTTCCACCGACAGTGGGGTTGAGTTTGGACCTGCGCTGTTTATATAACATGTATGTGCATATATATATACACATAGGCAAATAGATAGGTAGGTAGATAGGTAGATAGATAGGGATAGAGACTGACAAAGAGATAGGGCAGAAGGAACCATTGTCGCCTTGGCATTCCCCCTGCAGATACAGAAGATAGAAAAGTATCTTTGTTGGAGTTTCCACCAACTGCGGAGTTGTTGTTGGACCTGCACCGTAGCATTTTAGCAGGGAGAGAGACCAAGATATGTATAATATATATATATGTATAGGTTTGCCATTGTCAAAGAACAAAAACTGAGGTCTTTTCGAACCTAAGCGGAAGACGTTGTGGAAGAATGGCAGTGCGGGTCCCCAATCAGGTCTTCAACGTTTTGGTGGACGAAAGAAGGTCGCAAATGCCTTGGCCACCCACTTTGGGAAAGATGTGGAGTTCCCCGAGCCCATTGTCTGAGATGGTTTGTTCTGTGTACAAGGCCTTTTTTGTAGATTACCACCTCATTGTTTCCTTTATATATATATATATATGTTTTTCTTTAAGACATTCAAACTAGGAAAGCTGCCTCCTGGGAGCAAAACCTTGCTGAGTTGTGCGGGTATGGAGGTGCCGTCACGTGTCAATCCTGGCGGGTCCCGCGGACATCTACCACAGTCTCATGGGCGGACGGGGACCTTGGCCCCCTGTTCGTGACTTTTGGTGAGGGCCAGCTGAGTGAGAATGAGGTCGATGAGATCAACCGCCTCTACCCAGGCACATTGCATGTGGAGCCCGCCAGCAAAAGGAGCCACATGTGGAATGGAGAGGTGTGTGTGAAGTTTTTCAACTTCATGACACAGGAGCTGAGGCGCAAGAGGCTCCAGCTAGGGTACAAGTCTGCCGAGGAGGCCTCCTGTTTGGGAATATGTGACCGCGCACCATCGCATCAAAGCAGCGTCTTTCAGACACTGCGTGCAAATTGGGCCCGGCAGAACAATGTCATCCTCCTTGGCTCAGATTGTTCAGGTCCATGCCAAATACCAGGTGGATTCGGAGCAACAATGCAGCCGAACGACAGGTGCGGCATTTTAATTCCTTCTTCAAAGACTTTATTAAAGAACCCACCCAGTTGCCTTGGGCTATACAGAAGATAGAAAGGTTACATTGGGCAATGCAGCCTATATGATGAAGGGGTATATGGTCGTTCTTATAAGTTTTCACTTCAAAGGCTTCGTTCGATAACCCACTTACCTTGATGATACAAAAGATAGAAAAGCTGCTTTGGGCATTGCAGCAGTAAAGAAACAATATCGGGGATATATATATATATATGTACATGTTGCTCTAAGGCTTCATTCATGATCCCAACCAATCACCTTGGGAAACCAAAAGATAGAAAGGCTTTTGGTATGTACAAATCATACATCTATACAAGTCTATATACAGGATTCCACCCTTCACTTTGGCTGTACGTAGATGTTTGTAGTGGTACCCTGCCAGGTTCCACCAGTTTTTTCATTTGGTCAGAAGCCATTATATGCGAATTGCTTGCGGAGTCCCGGCCAACCCACTCTATTCGCAGCTGGTGGATAAAGATTTGGGCCCAGACAATGTGCCTGTGATCACATGCCCAGTGAAGGTGTCACTGGCCGCTGATGCTTTTGCGATTCAGAAGCTGCGTGACTACCGCGGTGGCGCTATTCTTCAATGGGCATGGTGCACTACCGGACATGTGTCTGAGGCAGAGCTAGCTGAGTGGCACCACAACGGCGACAAGGCGATGCTTGAGGAGACCATGACCAAGTGCAAAGGTGGCTTTAAAGATCTTCTGTGCAGTTCTGAGCTTCCTTCTGTGGACCACTCAGTCGGGGTTGATCAACAAAACGTGTGTTGTCTTGCCAAAAATGCTCTATAATTAAAGGGTATATATATATATATAGAAATGTTGGAATTGCAGGTAGGTTGACCAGTTGGCCCTCCAGGTCTACAAGCGTGCATGGCAACAAGCCAGCGGAGTCTTGAAGGGAGAGAAGTTTCATGCTTGGTTTGCTATTCCCGAGCAGGAAGGTGCAGAGAGTGTCCAACTTCCAAGCTATATCAACACACCGCTGGAGGTGCTTGTGGCTCAATGGCTGGCAACCAAGGAGGGATGGGACCGCCGGATCGCATCAAGGGCTCTTGAAGGAAAGGTGCTTGCACCAAAATCCAAAGAGAAGTTTGACACTCGAAGCCTTTGTGTAGAAGTTCATTTTTGGGAAATAGGTGGTGGATACAGAAGATAGAAATGCAATATTGCTAAATTATGCAAAATAAAGATGATATTGGACAACACATGTATATGCATGGGGATGCGAATACATATGAATACATATGAAAACTATATATATACATATAGTGTTTCCAAAAAGATTTCCCTAAACTTGGAGTTCTGAGTATTTGGGTTCATTATTTTGCTTGCAAAATCTTAGGACTACTTCACTTCCCATCCAGAACGCACCCTTGTCGTGGATCTTCAGAACAAGCGGGTTCTACCTGCTTCCAAAGTGAATTCCAAGACTGTGGGCAGCAGGTTCGTGGTTCTCACAGTCAGCATGGCCATTGAGGCAGAGAAGCTCTCGGTGCGCTTTGGTAAGGGACACAAGCACAAGCTTGTTGTGCGGGAGTAGCTTGGTCGAAACCAGGTATATTATATATATATATGTACTGCTTGCAAGGGAAATAGGACTCTCCCCAGGTCCCCATTCCTGGAGTTGTCGGAATCCATGGCAACCTGGGTGCCTTGGTGGATACAGCAGATAGAAAAGTGTTCCCTGCTTCAATCCAAAACTACAAGCTTTGGGTCAACGTGTAAATATATATATAGGGCGTGTAGTGAAGACTTCAGAGGGAATGCATTCATGGCACACTTGGCAAGAGTCTTGTGAAATGCTTTACCTACTTCTTGTAGTTTCAAGGGAATTCACAGCATTGAGCCTTGGGCCATACAGAAGATAGAAAAGTTAGAGCTATTCAATCGAAGGGTTGTTTTTACAACCATTTGCCGGTATTCTAGTGCATTGACCAGTTCATTGACCACAATCCCCTGCTTATTTATACAGAGAAACCAAACAAGAGAAACTTTCAAGCCATCCCAGGTTTGAAGCTGCGGGTGCGTCACCAGAGATTCCTAGCTTTGAGAACTTGGAGGCAGCGGACCAGGAGGTCATCGATGGCTTAGTTGGGTGTGAGGAGGATGGAGTTGACCCCGATGCTCCCGTGGATGAATCTGACGAAGAAGAGGCAAAATTTGAAGGTGATATAGATTGATGTTTTTCCAATTGGCCTTGGGCTAGCTTAACATGCCACAAGAAACCATCTGTATATATATATACATTGTTCAGTTCAGCATGTTCTTTGTTTTATTTTCAGTCTGTTCTTGCTGTTCACAATGGAAAGGGCTGCCCACCAAGGCATGTTTGGGACTCTGCTCGATAGGGAAAATAGGTGGAGGATACAACAGATAGAAAAGTGTTTGGTGCTTGTTTCATAATTGCGCAGGCAGTCCCAGCTTGGTTTGTGGATGCCAAACAAGTTTGGTGTCCGATTATATAGAGAGGTCAATGCAGGAATTTGTGAATCCGAAGCTGCTCAGGAGGCCCTCATAGAAGGCCTACCCAAAAGAGCGCCATTCCAGCATGAGCCCTGTTTTGTGCGAGGACATTGGGGTACATGTTTACAAAAAACAACAGAAATTATGTATGTGCCTTGTTACATGGGTAGTTTCTATTCTTGATATTTTACCTTTGACAGTCCCGCTTTTCTATGGGCAAATAGTTTCTTTAAGTGCCAAGAGGCAATCTCAGTGGCTTATGATTTATGCCACAAAGCCTGAAGGGCTTGACGATGAAATTGTGAAGACAACAGCTTCTGAGCTTGGGTCTGGGAAAAAAGAATGTTTTGCAGTGTGGTCACACGTGAACATGTCTGTGCAAATAGCAGGGAAATATGGGATTTTTATATAATCTGAACTTTTCTATCTTTTGTATCGTGCTGGTATCTGCGGTAAAATCTGTCATGTTTGGCCCAATTTGTCTTGAAGTTGATTGAAACCGGCTAACATTTTCCAGGATGTAACTTTTCTATCTTTTGTTTCTCCCTGGTATTTACACAAGATTGTGCACGTGTGACATCGGTCATGTTGTGTGATTTTGACAATTTTGTGTAAATAGCAGCACGAAACAAAAGATAGAAAAGTTGTCTGATATGGGGAATTGACCTAAACTTTTCCAGGATCCGACTTTTCTATCTTTTTGGGGATCACTATAAAGTTCTGCAGCCACAGTTGCTGCGGTTTTGGTGTAGCCTTGCAGGGCAGAGATGACTTGAGCATGGAGGTATTGCTGGAAGCAATGCAAACGTCTCCTGCTTGCATGAGCTTTCGGTTGCTCCAACTGGGGAGACACAATCACACTGACAGTTAGAACAAAGAGAAATAGGGAAAGAATAGAAGGACCGGAAAACCCCACATGTTAAGCTTGTAAGAACTACCAACGAGAAGAAGAGACTGATAAGAAAAGAGGACGGATGAGTGGTGTTTGATGAGTGTGGTGTAGGATGAGTGGTGTGTGATGAGTGGTGTGTGATAAGTGGTGCAAGATGAGTGGTGTGTGATGAGTGGTGTGTGATGAGTGGTGTGTGATGAGTGGTGTGTGATGAGTGGTGCGTGATGAGTGGTGTGTGATGAGTGGTGTGTGATGAGTGGTGTGTGATGAGTGGTGTGGGATGAGTGGTGTGGGATGAGTGGTGTGTGAGTCGTGTGTGATGAGTGGTGCAGGATGAGTGGTGTGTGATGAGTGGTGCAGGATGAGTGGTGTGTGATGAGTGGTGTGTGATGAGTGGTGTGTGATGAGTGGTGTGTGATGAGTGGTGTGTGATGAGTGGTTGTGTGATGAGTGGTGTGAGAGGCTGCCACGAAATCTGCGCACGACAGGCGCCCGACCACGCGCCAGCCCTCCTGCAGGCTCCGTGTACTGCGCCTGCCACGAAATCTGCGCTGCAGGTTCACCAAGTGCTGTGCCTGCCACGAAATCTACACAACAGGCAGCCGGGCCAGCGGCGACCACACGTCCACCCAGTCCTCCCGCAGGCTCTGTGTACTGCGCCTGCCACGAAATCTGCGCTCAGGTTCACCAAGCGCTGTGCCTGCAGCGAAATCTCCGCTCCAGGTTCACCAAGTCCTGTGGCTGCCACGAGGCTCTGTGTACTGCGCCTGCCACGAAATGCACTCCAGGTTCACCAAGCGCTGTGCCTCCGGCGAAATCTCTTCACCAAGTGCTGCGCCTGCCACGAAATCTACATGACCGGCAGCCGTGGGCCAGCGGCGACCGCGCGTCCACCCAGTCCTCCTGCAGGCTCTGTGTACTGCGCCTGCCACGAAATCTGCACTTCAGGTTCACCAAGTGCTGTGCCTGCCACGAAATCTACACGACAGGCAGCCGCGGGCCAGCGGCGACCACGCGTCCACCCAGTCCTCCTGCAAGCTCTGTGTACTGCGCCTGCGACGAAATCTGCGCACGACAGGCAGAGTGGTGTAAGATGGGTGGTGTAAGATGAGTGGTGTCAGAGAGGTGGTGTGAGATGGGTGGTGTAAGATGAGTGGTGTAAGATGGTGGTGTAAGATAGTGGGGTGAGATGAGTAGTGTGAGATTGGTGGTGTGAGATGTGTGGTGTAAGATAGGTAGTGCGCGATGAGCGGCGGGCGTGTGGGCGGCGGAGGCGGACGCGGAGCGGCGGGTGCAGAGCAAATAACAAGAACCCCACATATAGATGTGGCAAAAAATGAGAGATAGAGAGAGAGAGAGAGAGTGTGCAAGAGAAAGAGAAAGAGGGAGAGAACCGAAGCAGTGTGGGAGTGGAATTGCTTGCAAGGTTGTCGCGCTGCGATGATCAAGAGAAAGGCTTTGAGTTTGAGTGTGCTCAAAGCTTTGTAGCCGCTTTATGATGTATATACATGCAAGGTTGAGACTTGGCTGAACGCAATAATGAATGAAAGACGCTCAGGTGGTGAGAATTCGGAGAAGCTTGCAGCTGCGAGGATCCTTGCCAAAGACGTCCTCGACTCTTTCACGGCTATGCGAGAGTACCTTCGAGAGGTGGGTGCAATTTCTGTAAATGGAACGTGTCACTGTTGGAAGTGGACCATAGAATCTACTATCGGAAGGCTCGAAGAAAAATGACACTGAGGAAGACGAAAAGGAAGAATTGTTTTGATCGATTTTGGCAAGGTTGGACGTTGCCTGGAGCGAGTAGATCCACATTTATGTCGAAGCCTTTGTACCTTTGACATGGCTAGCCACATCTCATTCAACTCTGAAAACTTTAGCCGCTGAAGGTATGTGTACTTGGGTTTCAACATTGCCATTTTGTAGTCTTTTTCTAGGACCCTGTCAACTCTTTGGGAGGCAACAATGTTGGCCTTGTTGCACGGTTAGTTGACTGGGAAGAGAGTTGGGAGGCTGGAGGAACCAGGAAGCTGTGTAGCTTAAAGGAGCGAGCGTTTCTTTCGAGCTCAAGTTTGTGCAGGTTGGAACCCGCTATGTGCAACAGGAGAAAATGCTAACCGCTGAACCGCGCTTAGTTTGAAAGTTGCTTTATAGAGTGAGGGCCTTTCTAAGATTTTGAAGTGTCTGAGCTTGCGATCCATCAAACTCTTTCGGAAGAATCTGCGTTTGGTAGCGTTGTCGTGCCTGACACCGTGTTCAACGCACCTTTCCAACGGTCTTGCATGCCACACACATTTGAATTATTTCAACCTGAGCCTTGCATCTGGAGCCCAGAGCCTGGTGGGGGAGAGCGAAAAAAGAGGTGGGCCACTTGGTAGTGAATTATAGGACCGGATAACCCCACATGGGAACAACTTCGAAAGATTGAAGCTGCAGACATAAGGTGCTGAAGAGTGAGCATGGGGAAGAGACAGGCGAGACAAATAGAATGCGTAAGGGTCGGTGTGTGTAGGTGAGGTGTGTGTTTGATTGTATGTGCTTGTCCGTGAGTGTGTATGAGTATGTGGGTGGATGTATGCTGTATGACGCTTGTGTGCATGTAGGTGTTTGTAAGGTGTGTGTTTGTGTATGTGTCTGTTCATCAGTGTGTATCTGTGTGTATCCGTTTGTGTGTATCTCGTCAGAGAGTCGGTCGTCGGAGACGAACTGGTCCAAGTGTCCTGAGCAGGAAGATGCATACTGGTCATACCGATTCATATGGTTGACTCATACGGTTGACTCTGCGTAGCTTTGAGCTCCCGTGAACGAGCGCAGGCAACGACCTCGGAGGCGACTAGAGAAGACAAGATCTCAAATGCACCGAAAGACACCAGGTGCACAAACCATGAAAATTATCTGCAGGTGAAAGCATCCAGGGCCACACCTGCCACGCAACTGCTACCGGCAGAGCGGAATTTGACAGCGTCCCAGAACCACAACTGCCACGCAACTGCTACCGGCTGATTTGACAGCATCCCAGAACCACACCTGCCACGCAACTGCTACCCGCTGAGCGCGATTTGACCGCATCCAGGGCCACACCTGCCACGCAACTGCTACCGGCAGAGCGCGATTTGACAGCGTCCCAGAACCACACCTGCCACGCAACTGCTACCGGCTGAGCGCGATTTGACCGCAACTGCTACCGGCAGAGCGCC